TGCTTCTAACAGTTATTTAGATGTGCTCCTAACGGTTAGTTAGATGTGCTCCTAACGGTTAGTTAATGGTTAGACTTGCTCCTAAAGGTTAGGTTCGACTTGCTCCTAACAGTTAGTTAGATGTGCTCCTAACAGTTAGTTAATGGTTAGACTTGCTCTTAACGGTTAGGTTAGATGTGCTCCTAATGGTTAGTTAACGGTTTCGACTTGCTCCTAAAGGTTAGGTTCGACTTGCTCCTAACAGTTAGTTAGATGTGCTCCTAACAGTTAGTTAGATGTGCTCCTAACGGTTAGTTAATGGTTAGACTTGCTCCTAACGGTTAGTTAATGGTTAGACGTGCTCCTAACGGTTAGGTTAGACTTGCTCCTAACGGTTAGTTAACGGTTTAGATGTGCTCCTAACGGTTAGTTAATGGTTAGACTTGCTCCTAACAGTTAGTTAGATGTGCTCCTAACAGTTAGTTAGATGTGCTCCTAACGGTTAGTTAATGGTTAGACTTGCTCTTAACGGTTAGATTAGACGTGCTCCTAACGGTTAGTTAATGGTTAGACTTGCTCCTAACGGTTAGTTAATGGTTAGACGTGCTCCTAACGGTTAGGTTAGACTTGCTCCTAACGGTTAGTTAACGGTTTCGACTTGCTCCTAACGGTTAGTTAATGGTTCGACTTGCTCCTAACGGTTAGGTTCGACTTGCTCCTAACGGTTAGTTAACGGTTGTGCTCCTAACGGTTAGTTAATGGTTAGACTTGCTCCTAACGGTTAGGTTAGACTTCCTCCTAACAGTTAGGTTAGACTTGCTCCTAACGGTTAGGTTAGACGTGCTCCTAACAGTTAGTTAACGGTTGTGCTCCTAACGGTTAGTTAATGGTTTGACTTGCTCCTAACGGTTAGGTTCGACTTGCTCCTAACGGTCAGTTAACGGTTAGACTTGCTCCTAACGGTTAGGTTAGACATGCTCCTAACGGTTAGTTAACGGTTCGACGTGCTCCTAACGGTTAGTTAACGGTTCGACTTGCTCCTAACGGTTAGGTAAGTTAGAGACACAGATAAATATTAAAACTCTGAAACAACACGACATTTAGCTAATTTGAGATATTTTTGCCATATGATGGCCATAGCAAACTTCGCTTCAATAGATTTTGATATGAAAATCCCCCCAAAAAATTCATAGACTATCATATGCTGCTTAATTTTTAAAACAGCTTTTCAAGAGCTTGGTGGCAGTAAACTGGTAAATATTTCTTATGCAGTACCGTGCTCACATTTACATGCACAGAAAACAACCAGGACAAAAATAATAACAGTGTGAGTGTAATTTTATTGTGGTGATCAAAAACCAATACCAAAGCCTTCATGACATTCGGTGTGTGGATATAATCTGGAGTCAGTATCTAGAGAATATATAATAAATAACAATAACTAGCTAACAGTGATTAACTTTGCAATCTCTGGGCTCTAAATCCAAACTTGTATTAGCCAAATGGCCTTGCGTTAACATAAAATCAACATAAAACCAATTAATCTAAGGCCTCAGTTCAAACAATCAAAAAAAAGTGGCAACTCTGCCCATAATCTTCACCAGTAATGACAATTAAAATTAGATTACTAATTATAACACAGGACATTTTCTCTCGCATTCATCCTTCGCTGCAACACTGTAAGTGTGATCATTTATCTTTGGGAATCCATGTTTCATGAGTCCATTATTCATTTCAGATGGCATGTAGAAAAAATATTTTACAATAACAAAACAAACAAAAAAAGTTGATCACAGTGATCTTTGTCTTCATGCGTCCAGCACTTGGGTGTCATATCATACTTTATATTTCTCTTTCGCTGTGTCACTTAAAATGCAGATATGCTGAAAGATATAAAGAAAACAGGAAGGTGTAAATACATAATTCTGATCAGACAAACAAATAATATACAAAACTGGCACAATATACACTCAATATACGCCAGTTTATGCACTGCACGCAATTAAATCAGAACGTAACAGGACAAACACTTACACTCAAATCCCTGAAATATTCATTGTAGTCTAAAGCATATCCCACCAGGAACTTGTCAGGAACTTCAAATCCAATATCTAAAAAAAAAAGAAAAGAATACATTTAAACACACACACAGAAAGAGAAACAAATGGGATTATAGTTTGCAGAAAGAAAGAAAGCTACATTCCAAAAAATGTGCATAAATATAATTATATAATATTAATTATAATCAATTGAGATATAATCTCTAATAAGTTTTCTGCTAGCATGAACCAATTCAGTTGAATCTCATGCAAGAAATTTATTTTTATCCAAATTTAGCATGGAATAGATACAGTGCTGGCCAAAATTATTACAACACTAGTGTTTTCAGCAGCTACAAATGGTTTTAAGTCAGTTATTTCTATCTTTTGCTGTAGTGTGTCAGTAGGAAATATCAGTTTACATTTCCAAACATTCATTTGGCCATTAATTGTAATAATCCAGTGAGATGCTTCAAGAAACCTACCCTTTTTTATTTTTTTGCATGAAGAAAGCCTAAACTGTTTGCATTATTTTAATGACAATTAAGCACAAAAAAAATGCATGATATAATACATTATTCAATGTTATAATTATGTAATTTGACATAATAAAATAGTACATATTATACACATAGTAAAATTACATAATTAATCAGCTAATTGAAGATATCAGGGAACATCTCCAATCTGTTTTCCACATGAACTGATCCAAAGAAATGTCAGTCGTATTTTACTCAAAAATGTGAGGGGAAAAGTAGTTATATTTTGCATAAAGAATATTTTGCATTGTTTTCATGATAATTAAGCACATTTTTTAAACAAACTAATTACATATTATATTATTTAAAAAAAATAAAAAATAAAATAAAATAATTATATAACAATATAATTATGATGTGATGTTTCATCATGTTCAAAGGCAGATTCATCTCATTGTAACATTTTTAATAATGCATTTAATTTATATTTTGCTATACCAAAAATTAGTATAGCATTTTTAGTATAGCAAAATATAAATTAAATAAATTCATTATGAAAAATTTTACAATGCGATGAATCTGCCTTTGAACATGACTGGTTGCATTATTTGCAAGCGAACAGCGCTCGTGGTCCATTATAGGGTGCGTCACTGCTAAAGAGCTTGATGATCCTCCATCGTCTTGATAACGGACTCGCAGCACTACAGCGCTCTGCTTTAGAGTGGAAGTCAAGAGCGAACGAGTAGAGGATAGATGGAGGATAGATGAATGGATGGATGGATATAAAGAGCTTATCAGCTTTCTGTCTAAAAGCATTGCATAACTCTGAACACAGACAGATGAGCGTGAGTCTGAATAATATGTCCAACTACATCAATGCAGGGTGTTTGATTTCTCTAAGTGATGTGGATTAGGCACAAAATGTTCATAATATCCAATGAAACACAAAGGAACTCACAGTCTGGACGATATCCTGAGCTCCTGGGCGTCCTTTTCACAAGCAAACTGAAATTACAGGACACTGAATTACAAATGAGATGCATTAAATAAAATGAATGACATTCATCTAAACAACAGTCTTATTTCAAACACTAATAAAAGGCCATTTAACCTTTAATTAACACAGAAATCTCTCGTATCTCTAGCACAGCTCGACTATTCTTTCCAAAGATGTTTACCTGCCTTACCTGACAACTTTCACCAATTTAGGATGACATTCGTTTAATAGTCTGAGCAGCGTTTCCATAGTTTTTCCCGTCTCTACAATATCCTTAGGCACAAAAAGAGAATTAATTGGTTTAGATCACCTGTATTTTCATTCCACAGTACACAACATACATTTCACACATGTTGATGCGAACACAAATTCGACACAAAATGCAATAAAATGCATTGCATCAAAAAAATGTAACCTCACCTCTACTATGAGCACATTCTGTAAGAAAAGAGAGACAAAAAAATAAATAAAAATAAAACATTTTTATCATATATATATATATATATATATATTAGTGCTGTCAAACGATTAATCGCGATTAATCGCATCCAAATGAAAAGTTTTTGTTTGCACAATATATGTGTGTGTACTCTGTATATTATGTATATATAAAGACACACACATATACAGTGAGTACAGCATATATTTAAAAAAAATATTTACATGTACATATTTACATTATATTCATATAAATGATATCATATATAAGTATATTTAATATATAAACATAAAATTTTTCTTAAATATATACATGCATGTGTGTGTATTTATACATACATAATAAATATACACAGTACACATATATTATGTATATTATGTAAACAAAAACTTTTATTTTGGATGCGATTAATCGCGATTAATCATTTGACAGCACTAATATATATATATATATATATGGTGATCAAAAGTGACAGTAAAGACATTTATATAATGTTTGTTATAGTTTCACGGTTTACTTTCACTGCTATCACAGTGTTCACAAACATGAAGCAACATGTTTTGCTTGTTTCTTAAGTATCAAATCAGCATATAAGAATGATTTCTGGAGGATCATGTGACACTGAAGACTGGAGTAATGATGCTGAAAATTTAACTTTTCATAATTTAATTTAAAACATTAACATTAAAATAGAAAGTGATTATTTTAAATTGTAATAACATTTTACAATATTGCCGTTTTTACTGTATTTTTGATCAAATAAATGCATACCCGATGAGCATAAGAGAAAAAAAAATCTTAGCCCCAAACTTTTGGACAGGGTAAAAATAGAAAACAAAACAAAAACAGAAGTTCAAAAGTTGAAACTCACTTTGCCAGTAAGGGCAGATAATTCATCTCCACCGATAACCTTCACACAGTTTGTAGACTGATCATTCTGAGCAGAAATCAAGAGCAGAGAGAGAGGAAATACTTTAATGTTGAGCATTCAAAGCCACTGAAGATTTACTAACAGCATCTGTGACAGAATCACTGAAGATGATTTTGACTTGTCTGGCAGTTTGAGCTCGAAGTCATCTCAATAATCATTATAAAGTGGAACTACTTTTCAAGGTGGATGAACTCAGTTATACTATGGATGCATCGCTAAATTCTGGCCAATACCAATGAACATATTTATAGTAATCAAATGATAAACATTGACAAATGCTAATAAGATTCTACATAATTTGTCAAAAAACTAGGAATGTACACTGTAAAAAATGACCGTGAATTTAACGGTAAAAGACTGTAAAAATGCTACAGTAAAAACCTGTTAAATGGTTAATGGTAAATTCCCCTACTATATACGGTGAAAAACTGTATTGGACATTACATGTATTGGACATAAATTTTACGGTAGTATACCGTTTTTGGAAGTGGAAAAGACCGTATAATTTACAATGAATAACCGTAAATTGACATTCCCAGAATTCCCTGCGTTACTATCAGTTTTGATGTTTTTGTTGAAATAACGATGTTTCTTCTTAGTTTTTTCTGATCAGTTTTGTATATTAGGGTTGTGTGTTACACCTAATGTTGTTAAATGATTGTTTATTGCATTATTTCAGTTTCATGTGTGTTACCGTGATGGTGTTTAGCGTTTGTGTGAATGACACTGTGCACCTTCTATATATGTTATTATCTAAGAGCTGCTTGTGATGGGCTTTGGTTCATCATGTGACTTTCTCATCACCTCCTGCATTTGGTGGTTATCAGTGTATTACAAAGGTGCAAAACAGATTTCAGTACTTCAATGGGTTGGTATATTAACATTATATCAGTTAACCAGAGCTGCCGATTTTTTTTTTTACAGTGTAGGCATAAATGTATAATATACCAAATATGAATTTAGTCATTATAGTAGGCCTATTACTGTTTAAGTTGACATGAAATGTAAATACTACATGCTGCTTCTTTGGTCGACTGCAAGCTACATGCATTTTTGAGGGAAGTGCTTTCATTTTTTATTTTTTTTCAGTAATACGTTTCAATGGGAGATATACAGTACATTACATTACAATACGGAAGCAAAGATCTGTCACTACTTCCATTTTATCACAACTTTAAAGAGTAACTTTAGAATTTTTTTCTATACAATGAAAATTGCTGATCACTGAATGATTTTAACTTTTTTTAATTAATTTTTTTATTAATTTTCAACCTATTCTGAATGATGTATTTTTCTAAATATTTGACATTTAACTGAAAGAGTTCTGCAGAAGAACAAAAAACAGGTTTGAATGACATGAGGGTGAGTAAATATTGGTGAACTGTCCCTTTAAGTTGTATTTACCCTTGTCATTCCTGTAAGGAACATGTCAATGGCACAATCTACTAATAAAATGCTCCCTTTTCATGTACAGTAATAATCTGACAGCAGACATGTAGATCGGAAATGATTCATTGGTCAGTGTTAAGTATGAATGTATAAGGCTCAGTGAATGGAGTGAAGAGAGCAGTAAAGCTGGCACTCACAGAGTAGCTCTTTAGCCTGATGAAATCCACAGTCAGTGGCACAGACTTATCGCTGTTTTGATTCAACGTCTTGATGTAATCCATCAGGTCCGCAAAGAACTTGTACCCTCCTTTCAGAACGCAAAGGGCCACGATATGATGCCCGCCCATGTCCCGAACGATATCTCTGGCCAACCTTTCAGTCCTGCAGAGAAAATCAGAATTGAAAGGCAGAGTATTGTGACATTAATGCTTTCATTAAAGCTGGCTGAAGTCATGCCAAAAATGTCAGTCAAGAGATTCTTGTGGAAATTTGCTAAACAAATAAATGGGAAAGCCGAATTCAAATCACATGCCTCTCGTACTGCGCTAACATCATTAACAGGGGGAACACAGGGCCTTTTTACTATCGAGGGCATCCCACGGCCACGGCAATACCACAACTGTTTTGCTTCACTAATGAATGCTTCCCAATCTGACTGCAAAGACCAGATACATTCCAGGCAGAAATGCAGTATCACTGTTTGTGCACTACAGATTAAAGTCCTGCTCATCAGTTAAACGTACCTGTCCTTAATGAGGCCATTGGGTATTACGACACTGTCCAAATCCTCCTCGTAGTGTTTCGGCACACAGAAAAGACTCAGTTCGTGCCCTTTGCTGTCATCAGCTATCTAAAAAAACAAAAATCTATTAAAACATCTTTAAAGAAACACTGAGACGCCTGATATTTTAAGGAACTACAGTTATTTAATCTACTCGAGTTATACAGTGTAAAGATGATTTTTCAAAGTCTTAAAGAAAGAAAAGATTATTGGAGAATGTTAAACAAGAAAATACTATTTCAGTCTTTTTATTTCAAAATGTCACATTTCAATTCAGTGTGCCTTTGTAAATTATTTGTCAAATTTACTAGCAATTTTTTTAGCAACCCAAAAAAAATAAAAAAAAGTTTCAAATTAAATCCCACACATTTTTTTCGATGTATAGGTTTCTGAGAGTGTGTGTACATGTATGAAGCAATTTGTGCCATGAAAATAGTGTATTATGAGTGTTACCGTATGTAGCATAAAAACCATTTTGCACCCCATTTCTGATGATGATAATTAAAATGGACAGTTCACTGAAATATGAATATCTGTGCTACTCACTCACATGTTGCACACAAATTATATATATATTTTTTGCTACAAAGGGTTAAGGTGCAGTCATTTTAATGTTATTTGGCAAATTTTCACAGGCGAAATCCAGTTATTAAAGTTCATGCAAAAAAAGACATCATTTAGCATACTTAATTTTAAGAATATGAATTTTTAGTCTCACTCACATGTTCCAAACATTTTTAGCGACAAAAAGTTTTTGATGTTAATGTTATGATTTCATGCTATGCTGCAAATTTTTGGTGGGGAAATCTAGTCATTAGTACGGGGCCCCCACATGACATGCAAGAAAAAATAAATAAATCATGAGCACGATTTACTAATTCGTTCCCTCGATGTACTAAAACATGCGCACGATTGCTAATTCTTACGAAATAGTAAATCGTGCGCACAATTTATAACTCGAGGGAACGAAACAGTAAATCGTGCGCACAATTTATAACTCGAGGGAACGAAACAGTAAATCGTGCGCACAATTTATAACTCGAGGGAACGAAACAGTAAATCGTGCGCACAATTTATAACTCGAGGGAACGAAACAGTAAATCGTGCGCACAATTTATAAAGTTTTCACCAAAATATGAACACTTTTATATACTCGATCACTTGTTATACTCACTTTTTTTCTTTTTTGCGACAAAGGGTTAAGGTGGTCACATTTGCCGTTGTTTGGCGATTTTACACCGATGAAATTCATATCCGAGGACGTGAATTTCGCACGAGGGCTTAATATTTCCTCACAGATTTCGCATCGGGTTCAACTTGAACATGAAAATTCGCTGCGTTGACCAACAGACAGCTACGTGGTTTGAATGTGATGCCTTCATGAGATGCGTTTCATAATTCGCTGCGGTATTGATAATAGACTATGGAGCTAAAATTTCACTAATATCCACACAAAGCTATGGTTTTAGAAAACTGAAATTGCCTTCAGGTGGCGGTGCTTGTTGGACATTCTCAGTCTAAATTATGATTTGAGAGGGTGTGCAGTTTCCAAGTCGATGTGCAATTATAATTCAGCGAGCAAGTGAAGGCAGCATTACAATATAGTGCATATTACGGTTTACATTTATGGTCAGTTCATAGGCCTAGTCATCTTTTTGAAGCTTGACAGCTGTAGTCACCATTTGTTTTCATTTTATGGAAGAAAGCAAAACTTCCTCTTTTGTGTCAAGGGTGAGTAAATAATGACTGTTTTTTTTATATATAATTTTTGAGTTAACTATGTCTTTAAACACTGATCTAACCAATGGCGTCGCCTTGGCAACATACTGTTTAAACCGGTTTCAATTGCGGTATAAAACCTCTATTTCAGTGCATCAGCTCAGATTTTCATCACAAATCAGTTCAAACGTGCGGTCTGAAAAATACACTTAATGAGGAATATGAATCATTGACAAGTGTATGGCCATGCAGTGCCGAACCACACCTCGCGAGCCTGCGGGAATACAGCCCCAGCAGCACGCGGTGTCTTACCTCCAGATACGCGGCCATTCTGCTGTGCTTGTCCTTCAGGCCGGTGTCGGTGGACTCATGCCGGCTCGGTCCTTTCGCGTCCGGGGAAAGCGCTCGTCTGCTCTGCTTGAAGTCAACGCGACGCTTCCTAAACCCTGACGTCACAACCCATGTCGCTAATCCGCTTGCCCTGCGCTTGACCTGCAGAGAGAGAAGTAGTCCCGGCACTTCCTGGTTGGTCTGAAGCGCTCGCGACGTCAGACAGGGCATGTGGACTGACTGATAGGACTCTGTCTCACTGGCAAATATATATATATATATATATATATATACACACTTATTATATATATATATACAGGTACATCTAAAAAAATTAGAATATCATGAAAAAGGTCAATATTTTTTGCCACTTGTTTCAGAAAGTGAAACCCATATATGATATAGATTCTTTACACACAGAGTGAAATATTTCAAGTCTATTTCTTGAAATTTTGATGAGTATGGCTTACAGATAATGAAACCCCCAAATTCAGTGTCTCAGAGAATTAGAATATTGTGGAAAAAGTTCAATATTGGAAAGTCATGGTGTCACACCCTAATCAGCTAATCAACTCAAAACACCTGCAAAGGTTTCCTGAGCCTTTAAATGGTCTCTCAGTCTGGGTCAGTAGGCTACACAATCATGGGGAAGACTGCTGACTTGACAGATGTCCAGAAGACAGTCATTGACACAAAAGTTCATTGCTAAAGAAGCTGGCTGTTCACAGAGTGCTGTATCCAAGCATATTCATAGAACGTTGAGTGGAAGGAAAAAGTGTGGAAGAAAAAGGTGCATCAGCCAAAGGGATAACCGCAGCCTTGAGAGGATTGTCAAGCAAAATCCATTCAAGAATTTGGGGGAGCTTCACAAGGAGTGGACTGAGGCTGGCGTCAGCGCATCAAGAGCCACCACACACAGACGAATCCTAGACATGGGCTACAAATGTCGCATTCCTCGTGTCAAGCCACTCCTGAACCGGAGACAACGTCAGAAGCGTCTTACCTGGGCTGTGGAGAAAAAGAACTGGACTGTTGCTCAATGGTCTTTTCAGATGAAAGTAAATTTAGCATTTCATTTGGAAATCAAGGTCCCAGAGTCTGGAGGAAGAGTGGAGAGGCACAGAAACCATGTTGCTTGAAGTCCAGTGTGAAGTTTCCACAGTCAGTGATGATTTGGGCTGCCATGTCATCTGCTGGTGTTGCAATGACCATGGTGTTACTGTGCTTGATTGGCCAGCAAACTCACCAGACCTGAACCTTCATCTTCAACATGAACCAACACCTGACCTGAACCAACATCTTCAAGAGGAAGATGAGAGACACCAGACCCAACAATGCAGATGAGCTGAAGGCCGCTATCAAAGCAACCTGGGCTTCCACACCACCTGAGCAGTGCCACAGGCTGATTGTCTCCATGCCACGCCGCACTGATGCAGTAATTCATGCAAAAGGAGGCCCAACCAAGTATTGAGTACATGTACAGTAAATGAACATACTTTCCAGAAGCCTGACATTTCGGTTTAAAATAGCCTTTTTTTTATCGATCTTATGTAATATTCAAATTTTCTGAGACACTGAATTTTGGGTTTTCATTATCTGTAAGCCATAATCATCAAAATTTCAAGAAATAAAGGCTTGAAATATTTCACTCTGTGTGTAATGAATCTATATAATATATGGGTTTCACTTTCTGAAATGAGTGACAAAAAATATTGACCTATTATTCTAATTTTTTGAGACGTACCTGTATATGTATATATATATAATACATACATATATATTTAAAAATGGGCACATAACGGAATGCATTAACCGACCTCGTTCTTGTGTGAACGATATAAGATACACACACTGTGCTGTGTAGATTACTTACAAACTAGTCCGTCACGGATTCTAAATTACATGTAACTTAATCCTTTACATTTCACATTTTAGGTAATATAATCAGAAAATTCCATAAAAAAATTAAATCTATCCATCTATCTGTCAAATTCAAATTTGAAATTGCTTTATTGGCCTGACTGTAAACAAAAAATACAATATTGTATATTTCTGCAACTACGGGCACTTTTGACTCTCCAAAATTGAAAAAAATATCAACCTCTGTGAATTTTCATTTTAACCATCAGAGTCTGTAATACATATAAAAAGGTCAACAAAATTGCATGGAGTCAATAAGATTTTCATCTGGAACATGTTTATATTTTTCAACTCTTCTTCTTACAAAATGTCCTTACCGCAACGTTACAATAGCGTTCATTATATACATTTTTTCTTTTTTCATTTCTATAAAAATGTAATATATTTCAATAGCTTTTTCAAATTTTGTGCAGTTTTGTAAATACTGATATTAGAAAATAATATACAAAATAGGGGATTTCATTGTTTTCTCTATGCCATGTAAAATTTAGACAGTGACCATAGATGTCAATTGTTTCCATACACAATAAAGACATACATATTTAGCTTTTTATGACAGATGTTGCAATTTCAATGTGTAAATAATCTCAACTTAAAGTGTTAAAAAAATTTTTTGGCAGATAAAAATATGAAAATATTAAATAAAGCAGAGCTGCGGTAATGACATCTTGTGTCGGTAAGGACACAATGTTAAAGTGCCATGAAATCAAAAACAGGCTACTGTAGAGAACAACAGTAACAGAAACAGAAAACATATAGACTGAATATTTGTAATTTAATATACAGTACACCTTGAGCTTGTCTCTACCGCAACACAAGCTCTTTACCGCAACAACTAAATTTGCTGCGGTAAAGACATGTTGCGGAAATGACATTTTTGCTAATATTGCAGCTAATAAGGTAACGTTACTACTAAATTAGTTTTGATTCTTAGCATCTTAATATACATGAATTAAACAGTAATATACGTTTATTTTTAAAATGTAGTTCAAAGTACAGAATTACTAAGCTGTATGGTAAGGACACACAATAAATACTGACACAGAAAAGATGATATTTACCTTATATTTTTGGGATCTTGTGTGAGGTAGTGAGGTGGCCCAATCTGTCAGCAATGTGCTCACTTGCTAATTTATGTTTCTCGTTTGTCTTTGATAAAATGTCATAATAAAAGCCTTTTTTCATTGTTGCGGACAGGCACATTTAGTTTAAAAAAAATCAGTAACACTTTACTTAAAGGGGTGTGCATAAGACTGACATGACACCTTCATAATCATGACATGACTCATTCGCTCAGTTATGTAATTTTTAATGCAAATATGACATTATTTGACCTAACCCTAACCTAACCCTACCCCTAACCATAGCCCATAACAAAGACATCTCAATGTCATCTTTGCATTAAAAATTACACAACTGAGCAAATGACACTTAATGACAGTTGTCATAAACATGCATAAAAAACCTTAAATAAAGCAGAGCTGCGGTAATGACATCTTGTGTCGGTAAGGACACAATGTTAAAGTGCCATGAAATCAAAAACAGGCTACTGTAGAGAACAACAGTAACAGAAACAGAAAACATATAGACTGAATATTTGTAATTTAATATACAGTACACCTTGAGCTTGTCTCTACCGCAACACAAGCTCTTTACCGCAACAACTAAATTTGCTGCGGTAAAGACATGTTGCGGAAATGACATTTTTGCTAATATTGCAGCTAATAAGGTAACGTTACTACTAAATTAGTTTTGATTCTTAGCATCTTAATATACATGAATTAAACAGTAATATACGTTTATTTTTAAAATGTAGTTCAAAGTACAGAATTACTAAGCTGTATGGTAAGGACACACAATAAATACTGACACAGAAAAGATGATATTTACCTTATATTTTTGGGATCTTGTGTGAGGTAGTGAGGTGGCCCAATCTGTCAGCAATGTGCTCACTTGCTAATTTATGTTTCTCGTTTGTATTTGATAAAATGTCATAATAAAAGCCTTTTTTCATTGTTGCGGACAGGCACATTTAGTTTAAAAAAAATCGGCAACACTTTACTTAAAGGGGTGTGCATAAGACTGACATTACACCTTCATAATCATGACATGACTCATTCGCTCAGTTATGTAATTTTTAATGCAAATATGACATTATTTGACCTAACCCTAACCTAACCCTACCCCTAACCATAGCCCATAACAAAGACATCTCAATGTCATCTTTGCATTAAAAATTACACAACTGAGCAAATGACACTTAATGACAGTTGTCATAAACATGCATAAAAAACCTTCATATTCATGACGTGTCATGTCATGATTATGAAGGTGTCATGTCATGATTATGCACACCCCTTCAAGTAAAGTGTAACCAAAAAATCATAAAAATATCAATAAATCAGTAAAAAAAAAATTTGATAAATGAATATGCATTTGAAATCATGTCAAATTGTAATTCAATTAGCTTATTTTACGTATCTCAACATTGTGACCAGAGTTGTGGGACATGAACAAAAATGGTGTTTGGACCTATAAATGCTTCATAATTTTATATTAAATCACATCATTAATCATATTTTTGTCAAGGTGTGTAATGACACTGTGAATATATTTATAAAGCATCATATGACTAATTTTAACATAAACCTAAAATGTCACTGCTGGGACTTAAAAGTGCCCGTAGTTGCAGAAACACCCATATATACCGTACATATACGTGTGCATATATACACATATAGTGTGTGTGTGTGTGTGTATAAATAAAAGATACAAGACACAGGGGACAGAACTTCATATCTATCTTTATTCATATAGCAGCACATCTTACAGAAATATAACTGCAGGAGTATACAAATGTACTGATTAAAGCAAAATACGTTTATTTACGTCAAATGTCATTAGTTCACGTTTCTTCACGATACTGAATGTCATTCTTACACACTCATGAGTGAACGGCTATCCGTATAACAGTGGCTCTCAACCAGGGGCCGACAAAAACTTCCAGATGGGCTCATAGACGATTTCTTTAAAACATTAAAAAGTTATAATAAATGTAAATCATTTAAATAGACGCATGCAAAGTGCCAATTCACATCCCTATTTTTCACTCTGGTGAAAATGCAGCACTTGAACTCCCAATTGCAATGTAGAAATTTGGTCCTGTGTGTCCCGAGCGAAGACCAATTATAAAGTTATCCCATTTATAACTTGTTAGTACATACAGTTCTTGAAAAATGTGAAATAATTAAACCGTGACTTATTTTAATCTACTGACGCTAGTTTAAAGGGGGTTGAGAACCACTGTCCCGTGACAACTTCAAAAGCATTGGACGTTAATCACATCAAACAAAAGCAAACAAAATTAAAAAATTGTGCATTTAAAATACACCTTTCGCATCAAATAAAAGCACAAATAACTGCTGGTGATTGGGTTAAGCGCTCTTCAAACCTTTTTTACAATTTTACACTTACTAACAAAAATTCTTCCAACACCTGCTGGCCAAACAAACAGGAAAAAATCAGTTATCACTGAGATCAATAACCTTCTTTAACCTTACACCTTGATCTAACACATTTCAAGAGCCAATAACCACCAGTGGATGAGAATGATGACATTTGAAATAAAGCAAAAAATAAAAAAAAAGTGAGTTGAGGCTGCATAGCAGTGTCATGATATAAATGTTCAGATGTATTTGAGACCACACCGACAGACCGGTTAATGACAATTTGACCAGACAAAACAATGTCAATAAAAATGTAGTCTTTTACTTCTGGATTAAGAACTAGTAATCCCAACATCTAAGTATTTCATTATATACAAAGGTCCTTTAGAAATAAGAGGAAAGGCTTGCAAAGGCACAAAGTACTTTCAATCAAAAAGCACAATATGAAAAAAATAAAAAATGTTAATGATGGATTTGTGCAGAAATATATTTTTGTTCATAATACATACAGTATGATTTTGACGCAAGCTGGAGCATCAGTACCAAAAAAACACAAGAATGGACAAATAACGTTGATTCTGCTGCCTTGATTTGAGAAAATATTTGTTCTTCTTAATTGGTCCTTAGGTTAGATGTAGTGTGAATCTATATGTCCTACACCACGAGGCGAAACACACACATTCTTCCACTCTGATTCCAGAGTTTGATTTTTTTTATGGCTTTGCATGGAACCCAGGCTCCAGAACATTAGCCTATATCTCTCACAAAGAAATATCCAGGTCATATTTCACCCCCTCCAAAATTTTTAAAAAAAATCAACTTTTCATATCTATAATTTAACAAAAGAGGGAAAAAAAAAAAAACTGTAACAGCCATGAAAACCAATCATTTTAAGCAAGCGTCAATTCAGTAAAACAAATAGTACCGGTAGTGTGTACAATTGTACTTTATTTAAATTAATATTTTTCTTTTTTCGTTTTATAAGAACAAGATTTATTGATAGATATAACAGGCTACAGAGATCTATAACTTTTATTAAATTGATGTATTTTGGGGTGAAATATGGCAAAAGATGAGTCTGTGAGAGATTCACCCACACCCAAAACCAGTCTTTTTTTAATGGTTTCGAAATCGACAATATTTCGCTTATGCCAAACAAATAACAATCTCCATTTTGTAACACAGTGATGGGGACAAAAACCATCATTCCACCGCTCTGAATATTGACATATGAAGTACAGTACTGCAGAAGGGACAATTCACTTTTAAAATGTTTCAAATGTACATAGTACATTTTCGAAATTCAGTTTTACAAAAATACTGTATGTATGCCTCACTTGCAGGTGAGATATTATGTTTTACTACAAAGAGAGCACGCTTTTAACAAACTGCTACCTCACAAAGGAACAGCACACTTAAAACAGCCGATCTACTATTTACAACAGTAATTACGCAAATTTTACAGAAAGCATTCAAAAAAAGAATATAAAGGCAAGTACGATGTACAAATAACCGACTTATCAAAGCAAAGATGTTTATGCAGATTTGAAATAGAACTACCTCACATTATGTTTGCATGAGAATATTGTCAATGCAAAAGCTGCTTCTTAGAATAGAGTACATTGATGTTAAGTCTTAAAGCTTTTTAAAAGACTGCATGTGTCGGTGAACAAGTAAAATGTCAAATAAATGTGATTTAATAAAATAGAGCAATGTCCTACAACAAAAAGATCCCCTCAGTTGAGGGTGTGACAATGACTTTTCGAAAGAAATGAGAAAAAACGCTTAAATGTCATAACGCAAATAATTAACAGCTCATTACAAACCATTTTTAAAAAGTCAAGGCTGATGTAAACAACCAATTAGTATCAGTTATGACAAAATGTAGCAGCATTCTGTCAATATCAAACCCTGTACGAGTTAATTTACCAGCGTACACTACACTACTTGTAGAGAAATCTTCCAGTTAGGACACATGACTAATGATTTCTGATTAGTAAGAGCTAATTTTCCAAAAGACCAATTTTAAAACTTGTATGATGAGATTGTCGTGCAGTGATGTTATGAAGCCATCTCGTCATCATATCTTGTTTTAAAACTTGGGTGGGATTTTATCTGATTTCCTGGGGGGGTGAATACAAACCAATCCCTTCTTAAACCCTCAAGGAAATATGGACCTAACTTCCATTTTAAGCTGCCCAAAAAACACCCCCATAGTTGTGATAGTTCACATCAGCAATAAATATCCTATCATTCATTTTCTCACACACTCCTGTCATTCCATTCAGAATCTGTAGGACCGTCTTTCTTCTGTGAAACACAAAAGGCACAATTCTGAAGAATGTTTTCAGTGCCTTTGCAACACAAGCATTCAATGACCTAAACCCAACTCATAAAAAAACCAAGTGCACAATATTCCAAGTTTTCAGATGCCGTGTGTGCGGAACAGACCAAAAATGTCCATGATAGCTGTCAGATCTCATTCCTGCATTCCTCATGAAGCAAAATACCCTCAATTTATGTTTTTTGAGCACCACAGATGAAAGAAGGTCATACCAGTTTGGAACGGCATAGAGATTAGTAAAAATTGATTTTCATATTTGGGTGAACTATCCCTTGCATGCACCACCGCAACAAATCCTCTTCCCAAGCTTGTGCTTATTTGAATAATCACCATGAACCACATATAATTCAAAATCAAGAACATAGCTGCATCTTATATAGTACAAATGTGCTCCACGTCTTTCTGCTGAGCACATAAACAAACACATTGTAGACGCTCTGGTGGATGATAATACAATCTGTTCACATATCTCAATGGCAATGTTGCACATTTTCACATCCCTGATAGTAATTCATGTCTACAAGTTGGACCTCTTGATCATTTAAATAAAATTAAATAACAAACCTAAAACAGAGAAGAAGGAGAGGAGTGATTTACATAGAACATCTTGACTTTAAATGTTATGTGAAAATGGAGAGATTTGATGGACATCCATCAAACATTCAAACACTTAAAACATTAAACATGGCTCATAAAATAGGCTATATTCTGAAAAGAGACACTAAAGAGTAATGAAACACAAACACATTTTTAGAAAAGCATTATGACTATCAAAACATGAAACGCTTTGACAACCAGGTAGACACACATGGGTTACAAAGCTAAAAGAGAGAATCTCCGGTAGGAACTCCCTAAAGTGCTAAATATTTCAAATTCATTCACAATGTATTAGTATCTCAACGGCAACAGAGAGCTTTTGAATTTATGCTGTACTAGGTTGGCTTCTACTGGAAAACAGATTAATGACGGCAATAAATGGACAAGATTCAAGTGGAAGTCAAGAACACAATACAAAGTAGCAAAGTGCCAATATACTTAATGGCTTAATGGGTCACATGATATGTTGACATGCCAAACAGTGGCCTCAGTGAAGTGGACCCTTTCATGTCCATCAAGAAAAAGGAGCTGTGACGACATCCATACGTAACATGTCCCGCCAAAACAACACATTACAAGCTTTCAGAAACATAGATACAAGTGAAGACCCCCCAACTGAGACAACCCCCAAGTTTAGTTAATACCTACACAAGACACAAGATGTAAAGAAACATCAACAAGCAGTGTGGACGTTGGGTCTACTGGATTGAGGTTTCAGACTACTTATCTTTAATGGTCCAAGAAATCCCTAGGAAGCGCCTTTTCCTGCTCCTGAAAACGTTCCAGAAGTTCGTCTATCTTATCATCAAGGTTGTTGGACTGGTCCAGTAAGGGGTGAATCTGTGAACTAGTTTGAAGCTGGGTCTGATCCGAACCGGGATGGCCCATGGTGACAAGCTGATCTGACAACGACGGACCAGGAGAATTCATTAGCGGTCCACATTCTAATAAAAGAGAGAACAGACTTTTTGAGGCTCAGAATGGCACCTTCTGCATTTAGGCTAATTTAGAATGTTTTTTTTTTGTTTTGTTTTTTAAGATTTAGCCTATTTTTATGGCATTTTCCCCTTTATTACGATAGGACAGAACTGACAGAAAGCGAAGTGGGAGAGAGATAGGGGGTGGGATCAGGAAAGATTCTCAAGTCGGGATTCGAACTCGGGATGCCCGTAGGGCAACAGCGCAGTATGTCGTCATACCACCCACAAGGCTATCGCCACTGACTAATTTCGAAAGTTAATGCAACATCTGAAGATGTGCACATTGTTACATGAGAAATACATGTAAAATAGCCTAGACCAGGGCTGGGCAACTTCAGGTTCTGAAGGGCCACTGTCCTGCAGAGTTTAGATCCAACCCTAATCAAACACACCTGCCTGTAGCTTTCTAGTGATCTTAAAGACATTGATTAGCTTGTTCAGGTGTGTTTGATTAGGGTTGGAGCTAAACTCTGCAGGACAGTGGCACTTCAGGACCAGAGTTGCCCAGCCCTGGCCTAGATCAACAAGAATTTGCTTGATTATAAAATGTTTGTATTCCACAATGGAGGACAACTCCAATGCCAGATCCAAGAGTTTTTGATTGGGACTAGATTAGGGGTAGGCAAGTTCGGTTCTAGAGAGCCACAGTCCTGCAGAGTTTAGCTCCAACCCTAAAAAAAACCCCACCTGCCTTTGGCCTTAGTAATCCTGAAGACATTGATTAGCTTGATCAGGTGTGTTTGATTAGGATTGGAGCTGAACTCTGCAGGACTGTGGCTCTCTAGGGGCCCATCCACATGGAGACGCGTTTAGCTGTATATGTAAAAATTTTGTATTGTATCTGCGTTTTGTCCATACAGATCCAGCGTTTTGGGAGCCTGAAACTGCAATTTTTTTTAAACGGGGCCCAGAGTGGATAAATCTGAAAACGACACCCTTGCGTTTTTGTATGTACAGCCAATCCGTATATTTTGTGAAACGATGATTTCATCACCCCACGTCTCTACCCTAGTCAGACACCACTACATCACATAACAACAACAAACACCATGATCAGACAATCAACAACTGTATTTTTATTAACTAACATTAACACAGATTAATAAACAGTGTAATAAGTAGGGCTGGATCGATACCATTTTTTCAGAACCGATCCCGATCCGATTCCAAAAATTCGGAGTATCTGCCGATACCGATCCGATTCCAGTGCAGTTCCGAACCGAACTCAATGTATTATTTCTATACCTTAATGTGTGTTGACCTGATCGTCACTCTTTTGTGTGTTACACACAATCTACTAAATATAGACAACTTCATTATTAAGAAAAATAACAAACAAAAAAAAATGTATAACCATAATCTGTAACAAAAATGCTATTATAAACGAGGTTAGTGGATTAATTCGGTAGGAAAAGTTGCTCTAGGAAAATCATGAGATTTATAAAATCTAATTTTATAAAATCTAAAATTTGAGTGAAAAAAAAATACATTATTTAGTAGGGAACAAATAAAAGTGAATAAGTGTAGGACTAAATCTGGTAAAATGTTACACATTGCTCTTTGTATTGTTGTAAAATACATTCATGAAAAACAAGTAATATATTTATATATAAATATATTATAAATTAAAAGACTTTTCTTTTAAATGTATAGCACAGTAATGTTGCAGTAGATCGATAAGACGAACAAGAAAGGCTATTATAAATTTTCATTGCACAAAAGTATTATAATACGAAAGGCTCCAATACAGACTGGCACACTCTAATTTCACTCGCGCCCCCCCCAACACCCCAATTACTGTATTCACACCGAATTACTTTATTAACATCAACATAACGCAAATATCCATTAAAGCAGCAAATAATTTTTCTTTTGCTCTTTTTGATTAACATTTATATAAGAAATGTACGGATCCGTTATACTGATGTACATCTGATATTTTCTTTACTGTTTACGTTCACTTAAAACAACCGACTGTGCTTACAAGGATACTTGTCAAGACAGCCATTGGTATTCACCTGCTGTCTGAGAAGGCTATCTGTTTGTGCACTTCAGATGTGTGCGCGGTGCGCATAGAAACGCTTTACCACAGCGCGTGCTTACCGCACTGAGATGTCTTGGGCTTAAATGGCTTAAAATTACTTTAATGTTTAAACTGACAAGACTTAAAACACGTGAGAATGAAAAACTTTCTTGAAGAAGCAGCACTGGCCTGATCGTTAAGATAGTTTTGGGGGGCTAAGATGACAGATAGGGGGGCTGAAAACCACCTAAAAATTTTTAGAACCGCCCCTGGTATAGCGTGCGTAATTATACTGAAACATAAATAAATAACCAGTTTACCTGATTCAATGTGATGGCTGAGCCTGTTTCTGAGATAAGAACATGCCAATGCGTGGTTGGATTTCCGACACAGCTAACCGTAAATCATCTTACACTGTCAATAAGCGTGACTGATACTCGAGCCAACTGTGCTCTAACTGTCGACTAGCAGTGGGAGTCAGATTGTCCCCTAGTGGAACTCATATTCATAAATCCTCAAGGGAATGTCTCTGAATTAACTGATGCTCGCGCCCCCCTTGACAGGTGCTGGCGCCCCCCTGGGAAAACGCCTGTTGCGATCAAACAGTTACCCGGTAGAAATGTACATGATGTAGAAACAGCACGAAACTCCAGCAAGATAGTCCTTTTATGCAAAATAATTTATCTTTATTTACAGATCAAGTATAATATTAGGAACATTTAATAATCTTAGAGAGTTTCATCGTTTTGACTGTAGTAACCGAATGCGACATGCAGTTTGAATGCTGAACGGAGGATAACAGACAGCCGCAGCGGAGAGAAGAGTTTATAAGAACTTGAATTTAACGACTTAAATATTTATCTGTACTTCACATTAAACTATGGAACGGCTTCAGAACACTTGAAATATAGTGCACAAAAACTTTATTGTGCTTTATAATGTTTTTTTGTGGCTTTTGTGGGGCTTAACAATAACAGAATAGTATATGCAGAATATCGGATTTGGATCGGCCTCGTCTGGCCGATACCCTGATCCCGCAGAAAATGCCTATACCGGAGTGATACCGATACCGATAATGAATATCAGATCGGCACACCCCTAGTAATAAGTGTATTGTTCCATGTTCGTCTTTGTTGTTGTGTTGTGTTTGTATACAGCGCGCAATGTTTATGTGCATGAGCCAAGTCTTCTTCTACATTTTTAGTGTATCTCTGTGGCAGAATTACAGCGCCACATACTGGCCCAGCATGTTTCGTGTGTACACAGATATTTCTTGAGTTGACACCATGTTTACGGAAGAACGAGGAAAAAAAAGATCAGATAGGGAAAGCTCTGGCTTTGTGTGGATGTGGCCTAGGACAGAACTTGCCTACCCATGGACTAGATCAATGATGTCCTATCCTGCTCCTGAAGGGCCACTGTCCTGCAGTATTTAGAGCTAAGATCGAGCTAAACTCTGCAGGACAGTGGCCCTCCAGGACACAGTTTGGACACCCCCGGACAAGGTCAAGGACAGAATAACCTTCCAGAGCATCTCCACATGCACCAATGTTACCATTATTTGCTAAGACTGCAATTCTGACATAATGTTGTTGACATAATAGCACTTGCAACTGGGAATCTCAGAAAGAACAAACCCACTTCTAAAGAGCATTTTTGACCAGGATCACCTTCCAGAGTAGTGCCTCTTAAACCTGTCCTGGGGACCCCCCACAACTGAACATTTTGTTGTCTTCTTCTAACACCTGATTCAACCAACCAGCTCATTTAAAGGAGACTGCAAAACTTAAATAAGTTGTGTCCAATGAGGGAGACATATAAAATGCGTAGTGTTGGGGGTCCCCAGGACAGGTTTTAGAAGCACTGCTCCAAAGAATCTTTTGAGCATGATTGCAATTCTGATTTCATGTTGACTTAATTGCACTTACCACTGGGAATCTCAAAAAGAAAAAGGCCTGCTTGTCCTGGCAGTCCAGGTTGGCTGAGAGTTCCCCCAATAGCTGTCTGAAAGAGTTGACTGGGAGGTTGCTGAGGGGCGGAAGATGTGGTGTTCTGGAGACCGCCCACTGCCACACCACTCTGTCCACTAAAGATGGTGGCTGCTGTGGCAGTTGTAGGTAACTCCTGAACACTTACACCACCTTGCAGGGCTGAAATGGCTGACTGAGGCAAAAAAATGTTGCCAGAAGGTTGGTCTGTAGGAGAGACAGGGGTTACGCTGGTGGCACTGGGGACAACCTGCATAGGTTGCTGGTCCTGAAAAAGTTCCTTCCGTGTTGAAGGCATACTGGCAGACGAGTCACTCACAACGGTGCTCTGGTCTTGAAAAGACATGGGCTCTGCCGAGTCTTGTTGGGCAACACTCAAAACACTGGCTTGTGGAAAAATAATTGGTGGATTCGGAGTTGGCTGGGCTGCGGAGGCGGTGGGTTGGTTTGAAGGGTTGTTCACAGTAATGTTTTCAGAGCTGGGAACAACTTGCATGGGTTGCTGCTCCTGAAAGATATTCTCTGGGAGACGGTCACTTGCTAGTGAAGCTTGGTTCTGGCCACTGAATAGCAGAGCCTGGGGCAGATCATGGGGATTAATGGCTGTGGTACAGAACAATATGCCTGTCTGTGTTGGTGGCTGTGTTTGATTTGGGGATATTGTGGCAATATTTGGAAAAAGAGGGGCCTGTTGGGGTGTTGCCATCTGTTGTTGTTGGGGAGACTGTTGTTGTTCCATTGGGGTGGACAACTGTGCTTGTCCCTGAAAAAGTGAGACAGTCTGAGCTTCTGTTCCAGATGTCTGCATGGGCGTGAGGAAAGCTATCTGTTGCTGCTGCTGGTTCGGGTTATTATCCGATGATAGCTGGCCAGGCAACACACTCTGCGCAATAAACAAGCTAGCTGAAGGAGCCTGCTGATCTGTAGGCAGATTGGTGCTTGTTAGCATGGTCATGGTACCAGGAAATAAGGTTGCTTGGACTTGTGGTGACTTTGTGGTTCCAAAGAGTACTGTCTGCGAGTCTTGTGTTTCAGTCAAAGGGTTATGACTCTGAAAAAGAGGCAGTGGAGGTGAGGGTTGAGAGGATGGCTGCTGCAGAAAGCTTGATGTCTGAATGGTCATAAGACCCCCTGTCTGTTGGAAAAGAGTAGTTTGCTGCTGCAACTGCTGCTGGGGTGGGTTCTGGAGGAAGCCTTCAGGGGGCTGCGATAGAGTATTAGTCTGTGTGGAGCTTTGCTGTTCGTTAGAGAAGCTAGGTGTGCACTGCATTGGAATATGTGTCTGCAATAGCTCTGACTGTAATTGTTGCTTTAGGCTCTCTATTACTTCCTGATGCTGAAGAGTTTCTAAATTTTTCTGATGCTGTTGCTGCTGTTGAAGATTATCAAGAACTTTTTGATGCTGCAGAGTCACTATAGAACTTTGTTGCTGAATGTTTTCCATGACTTTCTGGTGCTGCTGTTGATGCTGTAGATTCTCCAAAACTTTGTGTGTTTGCTGCTGCTGAATGTTGCCAAGAGCCTGTTGTTGGAGATTTTCCAAGACCTTCTGATGTTGCTGCAAATTTTCAAGGACTGTCTGTTGATGTTGTAGATCCACAAGTGCCTTCTGTTGCTGATGATGCAGATTCTCCAATATATTCTGCTCTTGCTGCTGCTGTAGCTGGTTTGTTAGAGTTGTCTCATTTCCACCCAACCTTAAACTGTTCATGTTTTCCTGGACGTGTTGCTGAAGGCTCTCTGCAGATGGTGTCGGGCTATAAAGTACAGAATTTAGCTGTTGTTGTGCTTGCAGCTCTCTTACTGCTCTCTCTAGCTGTGCAACACCATCCTGGGGCAAAAGAGCCTGAACTTGTGGCCGCTGGGATGGAGGATTCCGAGAGTCTATGCCCACCAATACCATTCCACTTCCATCTGCACTGTTGTCCTCTGGAGACAAAGTTTCTGGAGTTTCCCGCAAGAACTGCTGAGGGACCTGAGGGGGAACAGGCTGGAGAACTGTTGTGTCTTCCGACAAGGACACTTGGAACGATGCAGGTGAAGGTATGTCCTGCTTCTGTATGGTGGATAAGGTTTCTTGAGTTGTAAATATTTGAGGTGATGGCTGTTGTGAGTCAACGGGTTGAAGAGCCACAGGACTTGGAAAAGACTTGGTGGCAGAGGGAAGGACAGTACTTATCTCCAAGATTTGTTGGGTTGAACTAAGGGCCTCTACAGGCTGCATTTAAAAAATGAGAAAATGTGTTAATTTTCATGCCCCATTCATAAAATCAATACTTTGCTTGGGTTTAATTCCTAAACTAAAGGATTCCAAGGTTAAACCTGGAACTTGAATTACAAAAGGATGACAGTACCTTAAAAATGTCTGAAGGTGCTGCATTACAGGAAACTTCCATAGGTTCTTCTCGTTTGACCATAGGTAACATTAAGACATTGTTTAGACAACTGGTCTCATTTTGCATTGCTGTAAACAAAGTCATAAAATATATGAGTTCAAACTTTAAAGCTTTAAGGAGTCTATCAAAAAATTTAAAGTGTAATGGCAGCAAAACATGAAAATATTTTTATAATGCCACACCTTTTATCTGCTCTTCAAAGGTACAAGCCTTGACTGTGACTGGCAGTTCTGATTTCACTGGTATTTCAACCTTCTCTGTTTGAAAATAGTTAAAATAATGAATGATGACATCATCTGCTGGTGCAGAAGTGCAATTGTATAATACTCTGTCTCAAAGGGTGTCACCGGAACATTGCAAATGTATTAATTCTATGCCATGCAAAAGGACACTTCAGGACAGTTACAAAAGCCTTTGCTATACTAAGATTCACAATTTCATACTTGCTTTACCAAAGTAAATTTGCTTAATTTACCCAATAATATGCATTGCTAATCATGCTGCCAAACATTATTATCAAACAACCATAGGGAAAACACTATCCCTACCACTAAAACCCTAACCCCACCCTTAAAATTACACCCAACTGATTTATTGTTCAAGGCCCTAACCATAAAATATGATACCATCTAAGACTGTTTTTTGGCCGCAACGGTATTGCAGGGGGGCCGCTAAGTATTATTAATAGAAATAATAATATAATATTATTATTATAATAATATAAATAATGATCATTTAAAAATACAATGGTTAAATGTGAAATTTTTTTCTATTGCTGTTTTAAAAAAGGTTATAAAAAAATGTCAAGAACAAACTTAGAGTACCAAAGCAGGAAAAATGCTTGAAACTGCGTTCCCTGGCAACGACAACAGTAACACCGTGTCCTAACTACACGCGATGCCATGACATGTGATAAAAGGTAGACTATCTTTTCCATGTTGGCGACGCGCAAAATGTCTATTTTAGAAACAGTTTCTATTTCTGCGACGTCGTGTCTGGAACAACAGCATACAAACTATAACAATGATAATCTCAGGTACTGATACTCTGCTTTAATCAATGTTAAAAGTAATGTGAGTTTGAATATCATTTTGCATGACATTTATGGCAGTCGTGGCCTAATTGTTAGAGAGTCAGACTTGAGTCAGACTTGTAACCTGAAGGTTGCGGGTTCGAGTCTCGGGTCCGGCAGGAATTGTCGGTAGGGGGAGTGAATGTACAGCGCTCTCTTCTACCCTCAATACCACGACTGAGGTGAGACCCTTGAGCAAGGCACCGAACCCCCAGCTGCTGCCCACTGCTCCGGGTGTGTGTTCACGGTGTGTGTGTGTGTGTATGTGTTCACTACTGTGTGTGTGCACTTGGATGGGTTAAATGCAGAGCACAAATTCCCATTATGTGTCATCATACTTGGCCACACGTCACTTCACTTTCATACTGAAAACAACAACAGATTACCTCAGATCTTAAAAATAAATTAAAGCAAACGTACATTAAAACTGTGAACTCAATGCGAACCAACAAGTGTATTTCATAACAAAGATGGTATCAGTCACTCAGTATGTACTTTTAATAATGTTAAAAAGGTTTCATATTTATAAATTAGATTATAAACTTGTCCATTTCATCGGGAGTGCAGTGAGTATCTGCGCTTCTGAATGGCTGTGTTATTTGATTGATTCTGTCACGTCGCGTTGTTGCGTCGCGTCTGGTGTGGACAGCCAAATTCCTTGTCGTTGGAATCTTGTCGCGTTTGGTTAGGACACGGGGTAAGAGTGGAGGCACCTTATTGTGTTGCAAAGCTCATCGAGAAAGGCTGGAAAACCTCACACAATTGGTGAAAATTAGATTTTACCTTCTCGACACAAATAGGTTAATTAATTAATTTATTTTTGTAGCGGGCCGCAGAAATATATGTGTTTGGTTGTGTGGGCCGTGAGTTAAAAAAGGTTGGGAACCACTGGTCTAAGACTATCCAAAGAAGAAAATTACACACTTTGCTTACGGTCAAACACATATTCACTATATTTCTCATGAACTTTTGAGCTGGATATCTGTTGATATCATAAATGTATCATCTTTTCACCAACCTGTTAGAGGAGTGTAGGTAAAAGGCTGTAGATCATGTGTTCTCCCTGCATTTGTCACTACAGCAATCCCAACGGACACTGGGGAGGTCACTGTCTGGTCATGATATGGGGGAACCTTCACCACTAGATGATTCTGGATCGAATTATGTTGTAAAGATGCTTTAGACAAGATATTTATGAATGATAAGTATTACACAACAGAACTAAAAACAGTAAAGCCATGTCCTGCACTTGCCTGATGAAAAAGTTCCATGTCAATTTCTGCTTCGGCCTGCCAGCCACTTTCATCTGAAAGGAAAACGAAGGAAAAGGATGTACTTGGGTTCAAAACATATTGTACACAGAAAGGAGACTGTTTATCATACTAGCTACGCAAGCTAAATTACATGTCCCATTGCCATGTGTGGGGCATTATAGTGCTTGTTATATGTAAAAGGCATTAGATGATCATGCATGCAATACCTGTAGAATTTTCCTGAAAAAGAACTTTGGTTCCTTTGAGAAAGTTCTTGCCAATGATAAAGACTTCCTCTCCTCCTGCGACAGAGCCACTGTGAAGACTCTTCTTAAGGATTTCAGGCACTCCAGCTGGTTGAGCTGAAAATGTGACAAGGAATAAGTCACAAATGTGGAAAATAATATCCCTTAATATCAAATCTGCACCCTGATATCCTTTGCACTTACTACATAAAATAGGAGAGGAGAGGGCCTGGAGGGTTAGGACAGATCCATCAGGTCTTGAGATGTTGACTCTGAAGGCCAAACGAGCTCGAGTGCTCTTCTTTTTGGAGCCAGCAACCCCTATACGAGCTTCAACATCGGCATTCCTCAGCTTCAAGATTCCAACACAGTCCACACTGCCAAGACACATCACATTACACTTTAACAATACATATTAACTAAAAGAGACTGTAACTGCCACTGGAAACCACAGAGAGAATGATCCTTACGCTAGGGTCATAGAGTTGGTCGGCTCAAGGTTTACTTCAATAACTGTGGTCCCTTCGATATCCACTTCCTTACAGGCCGTTGTGTTGCGCCCCGTCACTTTGCAGGCTTGATAAAACCCATGAGGCTTCACACGTCCAGCGTCATTAGCCACAAACACTTGGAGCACCACTGGTTCACTGACTCCCTCTAACTGATGTACCACATTTAGAAACGTTACCACATAAACTGTTTTATCCATAAACGCATATTTGTCCAGATAATATAATGTGCATTCAATTCTTACTTTGATTGTAGGAAATCCTTGCTGGGTACGGTCTTTGACGGATCCCCTACTTCCCTCCGTGAGGTATCGTGCTCTGTGCTGCGTCTCAGGCTGAATCAAAATCTTCAGCTCCTTCCCTTCGCTCTTCTGAGGGTATTGAATGGAAAGAATGCCCCCCTTCTGATTGTTTGACACTTCCAGGGAGCTAAAGGTAAAATGAAAAAGTAAAAAAAAAAAACATTAATACACTGCAAAAAAGCAACTACATACACATACAGTGACTCGTCTTCCGTGACGTGTTTTAAAAGGATTAGTTCACTCCTGAATTAAAATTTCCGGACAATTTAATCACCCCCATGTCATCCAAGATGTTCATGACCTTTCCAACGTGATCACGTAATGCGTCAAGTTGCGGATGTGCATTGTGCAGCTAGTGCAAGATGAGCATTTGTGGTTAAAAAGTATATACATTTAAATATATATATATTTTTTTTAATTACAGATTGTTTTGCTAGATAAGACCCTTATTCCTCAGCTGGGATCGTGTTGAGCCCTTTGAAGCTGCACTGAAAGTGCAATTTGTCCTTCAACCCGTTGGTCCCTGTTGAACTCCACTATATGGAGAAAAATCCTGGAATGTTTTCCTCAAAAACCTTAATTTCTTTGCAACTGAAGAAAGACATGAACGTCTTTGATGACATGAGGTTGAGTAAATTATAATACTTTTTTTATTTTTTATTCTGGAAGTGAACTAATCCTTTAAATTCTACAATCAAACCTCATTTAGACATTTTTGAGGTCAAAAATGACAATAAGTAAGGTCACCAACCTCACTTTGGGTGTGACTTTGGCGTCTGAACCCAGTTGTGAAAGAACAAAGTGCGGCGCTTTAGCGCTGTCTGCATCAAACACATCCATGCCGGCTTCTTCCCGGGCCGCAGGCTTTGGCCCCGGCCGCTGGCGAGGAGTTCTCTTTCGAGACTTTCTGGGCACTTCAGTATTGTCGTTGTACGAATTGCTGCTGCCCATGCTAAAGTTGGACACAGAGTCGTCCATCCACATACTGCTACTCTGCTCCGAGTCCTGGTTGGGAAGCACATCATCCTGGCAGGACATGCGACTGTCGTCCAGCAGGTCCTCCGGAGGGGGCGAGATGCTCAGGACGGTCCGCCGCTTTGAAGGGGTCGCCTGGCTCTGTGTGGCTCCGACAGTATCTAGCGCACTGATAGCCACCACTGATCCAGGCTCCACACCCATCCTCTCTGGCATCCCCTCTGCGGCAGGACCGCTGTGGAGCCTGGAAGCCTGCTCTAGGGCTGAGGTAGCAGAGAGCATGCTGGGACAGGAAGGAAGAGTACCGCTGAGTCCTCCAGGGGAGGAGGCAGCGGCGCAAGTGGCAGCAGCATCTGTAGTGTGCACAATGCAGAACGTTAATAAAACCTGTCCGTGCAAATCTGGCTAGCAGTCCCGATCAAGCAGTGAAACTCGACATGATATCAGGTCATTGCCCTTTATCTGTTTTGAATGTCTTGTTAATATGAAATCGCTAATTGATGTAGGCCTAATTAAGCTGATGCATTATCCAATCCCCTATTTCTTTCTTAAATGTATATTAATTCTTCTTTGGAACATTTTGTAGAATCTCAATAATGGCCCAATAACTAGTCCTATCACAAAAAAGCAAAAAATAAACATGCGTAAGCGGTATACAGAGCATTTGTTGTCACTTCTGCATAACCCAGTAATGATCTATTTTAAAAAAGCCAAATTACATTGGCCAATGATAACTCTGAGACTAATGCATGCCAATTGGGCGAATTGGTGTGGTACTGGTTGATAACCCAGAGCTGATCTATTCAAAACAGCCTCTCATAGACAAATCATATTGCACAATGACAATTCTGAGGTGCCGACTAATGCATGCCAATTGGACGATTTGGTTGGGACTGAACGTAGCCATGGAGACAGAATAAACAAGCTTCTGACCTACGAAGCAGAGAACTGCAGACCATTTTATATGCAGACTCTCCCTGATTCAGAGGGAACTCCCTGGAATAAAAACGACAAATGACAGCGAATAAACAATAAGTGCTGGTCATCCAATGTAGATATCAGCAAATTTTGGTCAGAATCATTTGAGCAAAAAATCATATTCATAAAAACATCAGTTTTGTTTTCTTCTTTTTTTAATATTACAAATTTCATGGGCCAGTTTTTGTACAGAATCAATAATTGTTTTTTTCACAGTCCTAATTTGGTGGTGGATTTGGTTTTGGTTGATTGTTTTACCTCAAATTTATTGCTGCAAAAACACTGATATTTGTCTGGGCTGCTTCACTTAAAGATCCCTCAGCTTCCTGTCAAAACAGGAAGTAGTGTAACGTTAACCTGGCTACTTGCAAACATATTTGCAATCACAGTATTGCCTTTTAATTAGGACTGGGCGATATATCTGATATTATTTTGTTGACCGAAGCAAAGTTGTAAATGTCAAAGTGACTTTAAACGCGTAAAGCAATAAAACAAGATATTTTAATAATGTCTCTAGTTTAAACTGAGTACCAGAAATCACAACAGTTTGATTTCTGCAAATTAATTGAAATTAATCAAAATTATGTGTTTATGTCATCGCTCTAGAATATTCACAGACATCCTTGTGTGGCACTGGACTTTTCATGTGCCAAACGTTTTAATATATATATTTTGATGTCGGCATAAAACCGAAGTGAATTATCAAGTAAAAATTATATTTTTACAGTCTGATTAAAGATTATGAAGTCAAAGCATTTTCATAAAATATAATTTTCATACACTTTTAAGAAAATAAATAGGCTCACCTATGTTGTCATCTCAACTTGAAATACTGGCATTTATTATGCATCATGCTGTGAATATGTATTCTTATATTGGTGCATGTAAACAGAAATGATTAAACATTCTCTTTTAAATTCAATTAATAAAAAACTGTGTAAAACAGTTCATGATCATATTTAACTACTTTTTATTGTATTTGATTGACAATGCTGGATAAAGTGTTTTTTTACGAGCAAATGAATACATAAACAAGTTTGAAGTATTCATATATAAAAACAGATTTAATGTGTTTTTTTTTTTGCTATATTGCCCAGCCCTACTCCAATTAAAAGTAATTGTATCATTAGCTGAGAGAAGCAAAGGCCTCCAAAAAAGAAGCAAAAGGGTTAAGAGAAAAGCCTTAAATTAGGCCTAACGCCAATATAATTGTAGACAAAGATGTAAAATAACTTATGAATTTTTTTTTCCCCCAGATGTTACCTAATGCGCTAAGGACCACTGCCAGCCAGTAAGTGCTGTTAATATCGCCTTGACTGGCTCAACCATAACATGCTCTCCAGACGCCAGAACATGATCTGAGAAAAGTCAGAAAACCACTCTACCCCACTGACAGCAATAACAGGATGCTCTTTTTAACTGGTTTAATGGGACAGGTCAAGAAAGACACTTGAAATGAGTTAGTCTGCAAAATAATCTGACATGATCTAAACAGCCAAAGGAGAGAAGAAAAAAAAAACAGTGAAGAAATGTAACAACTAGAAATGTCAGGACGTGCAGATGGGTTTTAAAAAAGTGTGATATCAAGTGAAACAGGAAGCACAGGTCAGCAGCACTAGAAATGAAAGAGTACAAACCCAAATGCTGAGACGGGAAAACAATTAAAACACCACACCACTAAACAGAAAAGTGTAGTAAAGATCCAAAAACACAAAAATCAGATAAAGTTAAGCGTCGCAGAAAGTCACCCGAGCATCACGCACACAGGACTGAGTGAAACCGATTAGGAGAGTCTTTCTAGCTTGAACAAAACATGAGTAAAATAAGACCGTGAAGGAAGGAGCAATGTGAAAAGTGTCCTACCTGAGGCCAGGGCAGCCGGAGGAGGAGGTCCGGCCTCTCCACCGCTCTTCTGGCTCATGATGGGCTTGTCCTGCTGGACGACCGAGGGCAACTGCAGCTCTTTAGGGAGCAGGTCATACACTGACTCTGAAACACACAGAAAGTGAGAGAGAGAGTCAGGGTGAGGTGAAGATGTACTAACTTGTACGAAGATGTGCCAACAAAGAACAATAAATCTTGAGCAATGATGGCATCTTGCTGCATGCAGCAACACCGAACATTTTTTATTTTATTGTTACTGTTTCACTAAATCCAGGTTTAATAACCTAAATATGCATGCACAAGACAAAGGCAACACAAATATTGGTGTGTGCCTATTAAATTACAGTCTGTGAATTGTGTAGGCGAGTTTAACAATAAACAAGTTATTATCATGTTACCACATGACTTGTTTTTGGCAGCAACTGACAGCAACCACCATCACAAAAATTTACAAATGTTATATTCATAATCAAATCTAAAAGACACCCCCGCCCCACAAAAAAAAAAAAAAAAAAAAAAAAAAGAGAACATTTATAAATAAATAATACATGTGCAATACATAACATGATCCAATTACAACATTGTGTACAAGGGTTTTGACTAAAACTGAAAGTAAAATTAAAACATAAAAAACCTAAACCCTAAAAGGGGCAACGTATCCTGGGGGATACAAACATTTGAGAAGCTGTTTCGCTCACTGGAAGCATTTAAAACGGCATGGCCGCCTGTTGTGGGAAATCTACTCTCCCGCTGATAAAAGTTGATCTAGTTCACATATTTACACATGTTGTAGGGGACTTACCTGTTTAAAAAGCTGTTGTTCAGCATTAGCTTTTTAGGTTTACATTGAAATTTTATGAATTACATGCTTACATTTTTGTAATCTGTCTCTAAATGTTTGTATCTCAGGGGATACATTGCCCTTTTAGGGGTAAAAAAATAAAGATATAAAAACATAAATATATGATGTTCTGTGATTTTGTGGCTTGTGTTTTAGAAAATCAAATCTTTTTGTAATCTTGACAAAACACATTGTTGGAAAGGTCTGACAGTCAATGTTTCATATTTGGTAACTGTTTTTCGTAATAGAAGTGATACTGTGACAGAAAATGATTGATTTGAGACAGAAAACGGCATTTAAAAAAAATCTATAGAGTTTGGGTGTAACCCAGTGGTTATTTTTGGTATAGTGCCCAAACAAAATCTCACAGGAACCACAATTTTTGTGATATCAACTAGAGCCCGACCGATATATCATTTTGCTGATATTATCGGCCGATATGAGCCTGTTGCCGATATATCGGTATCGCTGAATATGCCGCCGATATGAATTTTTTTTTACAGAACATATAACGCAGATAAAATGCTTGAAATGGTGTAATTACTTCGTTTGTCCAGCAGAGCGCGCTCCATTGTTTGCTACTGGCGACCTGGATAAAACGCTTTAAAGCTTAAGTCTATGGAAAACCATTGAAACTTTGAATGGCCATATCTCCGTAATGGCGCTGCGAACCCGCACCAAATTCAGGGGATCCCTTTAGCTCGAGGAAACCTCTCGAACACGAATCGAGTGTACGTCTAGAGGCCCGCTTTTGAATGAGACCACCCCCGCGTCGATAGCTCCCGGGGTTCGGGAGTTACGGGTGGTTAAATTTGCAGTCCGGCGCCGACTGATCTAGCGATCCCGGGGGACTACCGACAAGCGGAGGGTGGCGTTCGAGAGGGCTCCCCGAGCTGAAGGGATCGCCCGAATTTGGTGGAGATCCGCCGGCGCGTTCGCGAGATGAAATTTAAAATTCCGCCATGATTCCAGTTCCAAGGGAACGTACACGTTACATTCAAAGGGGAATGGAGGCCACTGTGCTCTTGGGAACCTTAAGTGCAGCAGAATTTTTTTTGTAACCTTGGCCAGATCTGTGCCTTGCCGCAATTCTGTCTCTGAGCTCTTCAGGCAGTTCCTTTGACCTCGTGATTCTCATTTGCTCTGACATGCACTGTGAGCGGTAATGTCTTATATAGACAGGTGTGTGGCTTTGCTAATCAAGTCCAATCAGTATAATCACACACAGCTGGACTCAAATGAAGGTGTGGAACCATCTCAAGGATGATCAGAAGAAATGGACAGCACCTGAGTTAAATATATGAGTGTCACAGCAAAGGGTCTGAATACTTAGGACCATGTGATATTTCAGTTTTTCTTTTTTAATAAATCTGCAAAAATGTCAACAATTCTGTGTTTTTCTGTCAATATGGGGTGCTGTGTGTACATTACTGAGGAAAAAAAATGAACTTAAATGATTTTAGCAAATGGCTGCAATATAACAAAGAGTGAAAAATTTAAGGGGGTCTGAATACTTTCCGTACCCACTGTATATACTTTATTCTATATATAATACCAGTCAAATGTGTGGACCCTGGAATGGGAAAGTGTCCAAACTTTTGACTGGTACTGTACTATAATATACACAAAGAATATCGGCCGATATATCGATAGCGGCCTTTTTTTACTCCCTAATATCGGTATCGGCCCCAAAAAACCCATATCGGTCGGGCTCTAATATCAACTTCAAATTTGGAACATAACTTGGCTATATAACATACGGCTTTGATTTTATAGCAATTTTAGAGTGCAACATTTTATAAAATATTTTATATAAAATACAATAAAAATGTTATACTACATTACCTTTACTGTAAACTTAAACTTTTATAACCTTTTTATGAAATGCTTTCACTTCAGCAATAATCTGCTAAGTGTGTTCTTTAAAAAGAGACCAGCCGTAGGTCTGTATTCCAAAGCGTTCAGGAATTACAACCATGTTGTAACAAGCATTGATAAATAAGTTTTCTGTTTTCAGTGAATTTATAGGGGCGACATATCAATACAAACATTACAATCAAAAATAAGAGAAATTGTATCGAGTCCCAAAACGATGGAAAATAGCAATACAATTATTTTCTGACGTCTCTTTTATGGCTTTGCCCTTTTTAGGGTTAATAAGAAGTTAATAAGAAACTTTTCTTTTTATTTCAGCTAGTTGCCCTATAAAAACCCTATATAGAAGCTATATTGAAAAAGCTGTATTAGCCAGCCAATTAAATAAATATTTACAATTTCAAAAAAATATTGTAAGCAACTAGAAATCTGCCTCATAATTTAAAAAAAATACTGGAACGCTGCAGGTCCAGCACATGTAGTTATAGATATTAACCCTGGGCACGGCCTCTTTCATGCGCAGCAGCAGATATTTAATAAGCAGAGGAGGTGTTTATGATTCCCAGAGCTCCATCTAGGGACTCTCTGTCCCATGATGCCGGTGTGCCTCTTTCAGCATGTTGATGATTACAGCGTTGTTGGATAGGGAAGCACTGAAGCGATATTACCATGACAGCTTCTCTCACATTACCTGTAAACCCTTGATAGATGACTGGGCCAAACAGAACAACAGAGTAACTTCCCAAAACAACAGTTTTACTCTCAATGGTTTCAACACTGTTTTTACTCGAATTTCTGTGCGATTACACTGTATGCTTTTGTAAATGTAAGACTGTAATAATAATTATCATCAAGCTTGGCTAAATACAGATTATTTCACCGTTCATGAAATAAAATTAATGTTTATTTGCTTTGTTTTTGTGAGGAATAAAAAGGTTAAGTAACTGAAGAATTAGCATGTGGTATTTGACACAAATAATTACATTATCTAAAGCAAATCTCAGAATCATTAGAGACAGAATTATTTCCCCCTATTAAAAAAAACTGTAACATAAAATGGTGTCATTTGGACAGTTTTTCCAGCA